GCTGAGGATTTTCAGTTCAATGAAACAGATGATACTAGATACTGCTAAATATTTTCAATATATTCAATATTTTCAATCTGCAGTTAGTTGAATCCATGGATACAGAACCTGTGCATGTGGAGGCCACTGTGTGTTTATGCGGGCTTACATCCTAACTTGTTGCTCTTCTGGGGCTAGGGTTGTGCTGTAGCATGTATACCTGCCACCTGTGAGGTTGGCAGGCCAAATGGGAGCCAGTTTGTGTCCTGGTCTCATCACTTCTGATCTAGCTTTCTGTTCATAGCCCGGAAAAGGCAACAGAAAACGGTCCAGGAGTCCGGGAGACAGAAATGAAGCTCCAGATCGTGGCTTCAGCCTGGCCAAGCCATGGCCACTGCAGTCATCTGGGGAGTGAACCAGCAGATGGAAGCTCGCTCGTGCTCTCTCTTTTTACCTCTCTCTGACTCTTTCAAATAATCTTTTAAAAAAGTTTATTGCTTTTCTAAATGGACTTTTATTATGTTTTTCCTTACATAAAGGCTTATGTATATATAAGAAGAAAACATTGCTCTGGGGAAGCATACTGGATAACTGTGCATATTTCCTTCCTTTTGTTGTATTCTTAGGTAGTTTCTACAGGTTTTCCTGTGACACTCTAGCTCCCGGTTTTTTCCCATTACTGAAAGTTCTACAAATTACTTTCCCAGTTGACACATAACTCTCTTTGACGTAACATTCAATTCCAAATTCAACGTACCTTTGAAACTGCTGTTTCTCCTTTTCAGCAATTGCTAAGACTGTCTTCAGAAACCGCAAGCCGAAATCATAATGGTCCTATGAAACATTGAAGAGTTGAGTTATATTATATATGTGCCATCTAGAAAAGGTGAAATCAGTGAATCTAAAAGTTCAATCTTTGAACTTCAAATAAAGAGTAACAGGTTAAAAACCAACTTTAACTAAAAGTTAAAAAAATCACAATTAGCATCCCAATAAAATTTCCTTTCAACTAGAAAGGGGTAGATTGAAGCAATATTAGTAAGAGAAGCGGTTTGGAAAAAAATGTGGCTACCTGATCAAACCATTTTGGATTGGAAACAAATAATCATTAATTGGCATCAGGAATACTTGGGAACTTTATGGAAATTCTGATACTTTTTTTTTTAAAGATTTATTTTTATTATTTTTTTATTGGAAAGGCGGATATACAGAGAGGAGAGACAGAGAGGAAGATCTTCCATCCGATGATTCACTTCCCAAGTGAGCGCAACGGCCAATGCTATGCCGGTCCGAAGCCAGGAGACTCTTCCGGGTCTCCCATGCGGGTGCAGGGTCCCAAAGCCTTGGGCCGTCCTGGACTGCTTTCCCAGGCCACAGGCAGGGAGCTGGAAGGGAAGCGGGGCTGCCGGGACCAGAACCGGCGCCCATATGGGATCCCGGGCGTGCAAGGCGAGGACTTAACCACTTGCGCCACCACGCCGGGCCCGAAATTCTGATTCTTTAGCTCCACAGACATAGAATACAATCTCTACAAAATTCATAGAAAATGCATATCATGAACAAACTCATGCATTTCAAAAAAATTTTTTGTACCCAAGTAATTTGTACTGACTTGTCCTAACACACCTGAATCAGATCTAGTTTAAGGCTTTCAGAAAACTATCAGTTTAAAACGTGCTCCTGGGCCCAGAGTGGTAGCCTAGCGGCTAAAGACCTTGCCTTGCATGTGGTAGAATCCCATCCAGCTCCCTGCTTGTGGCCTGGGAAAGCAGTCGAGGACGGCCCAAAGCCTTGGAACCCTGCACCCACATGGGAGACTTGGAGGAAGCTCCTGGCTCTTGCCATTGTAGCCGCTTGGGGAGTGAATCAATGGACAGAAGATGATTCTCTCTGTCTCTTCTCCTCTCTGTATATTTGACTTTGCAATAAAAATAAAGTCAATCTTTTTTTTTTTTTAAAGTGCCCCTACCAGAGCAACAGGAATTCTGCTAAGATTAGAGTGAGAGTAGACATCAAACTTATGGCAAAGCTTGGATGAAGGAGTTTGAGATCACTGATGCTTAAGAGAAATTACAGGAGCAAAGATTCAAGGAAAGCACTCGTTTATGAAAGGCAAGAAGGAACAAGATGATGTTGAGGATGGTGCTTGTGACAGGTTATCCAAATGAGTGAAAAAAGTTAATATTGTTGGTGCCGTTTACTAGAGAGGCTCGGAAATCAACAGCAGGAGAAAAAAACACTGCGCACCTCAGACATACAGACTAGGTCAGGTTGCAGATTCTGACTGCAATGTTCAACGCAGCCAACTTTCTGTGTGCAAATGTTGTACTCACATCAGCTGGAGATATGCACAGAGCGGTCAATGAAAGCTTTAAGCAAGCAGGATCAAGATCCTGATGCGAAGGCTCCTGGAGACAAGACATAAGCAAACCACACCAGGAGGTGAAGTTTCAGTCAAGAGCAGAGGTCACAGCACGGTTTTACGGGATGCTCCAATCCTTTTCCTGCTGGTTTTCTTCTGGTGGGCCAAGAATGATAATGTCTGCTTCTTCAGGAACTATTTTAGCAAATGGCCAAAGTTTAAGCAGAGAGACTGTCTGCCCCTAGACAATGCTTCTGCTCGTTTTCCATGTCGTAAGGACAATTTGTTGAGAGTGTGTTGGGAAATCATCAGGCATCCACCTTATAGCCATGATTTGACTTCTATTTGGTTTCTATTTGGTTTCTAGTCATCCATAATAAAATATTCATTCATGAAAAGACCGACATAGCAAAGTTCCCAAGATCCTTAATTCGTTAAGGATGGACTGACATAGGTGAATCCAAAGCCAAAGAATGAGCTTATCATTTAAACGCTAGCCCAAAGGAAATGGTGGGCATAGTAACACCCCAGAATTTAAACTTCAGAACAACGAAAACTAATAGGGGAGCATTACATATGATAAAAATAGTCCACCAAGAAAATAGACTACTACTAACTATATATGCAATGAACAACAACATTGCAAAAATTTGGGAATTGAACTACAAATCTAAAATCATAGTTGGAGACTTCATCCTTATTCCATCAACTGATAGAACAATTTGACATAAAACCAAGACCACCTAGAAAATTTGTGGCAGGAAAATAAGTATTAGAAAGGAAACATTTAAAAGATCATTTATTTGACATTGTCTGTACCAACAATGTCGGGGTACACTTAAATAACGGACTGACAGAAATGATTCCATATGAAGGAGTACACCATTGTAGAATGGGGAAAATCTGTTGGGGGAATCCTAGCCTATATGAAATTGTACCACATAATTCAAAATTCAAAATTAAAATATATTAAAAAAAGAAATGCAGAGTTAGAGAAAGTGAAAAAGATAGAGAAAACATACATCCACCTATCTATTGCTTACTCTCCAAAGGGCCACAATAGCTAGAGGTGAGTAAGGCTAAAATCAGGAGTCAAAAACTTCATCTAGGTCTCCCACAGGGGAGGCAAGGCCCCAAGTACTTAGGCCGTCACCTGGTGCCTTCCCAGAAGCATTCGCAGGAATCTGGATGGGAACTGGAACAAAGTGGTCTTGAACTGACACTCTAATTAGGGATGCCAACATTGCAAGTGGAAGCTTAATCTACTGAACCATGATGCCAGCTCCAAATAAAGCACTTTAAAAGGGTCAGAGAAGACGAAGTAAATGAAAATATCAAAATCTATGCAAAATCAATGCTGAAGGAAATTTATAACTCCAAATGCTTATATTTGGCAATTGAGAGGTCTCAACTCCCTAATTTAAGCTCTTACTTCACCAACTAGAAGGAAAAAGAACAAAATAAACCCAAAGCAAGTACAAGTAACACTAAGCATAAATGAAATGCAAAAAAAGAAAGAAAGAAAAGAGGGCCGGGGGAATCAGTGAAACAAAGATCTAATTCTTTAAAAAGATCAACAGAACACAACTGACCACAGAAAAAACATAAAACTGCCATTAGCAGGAAAGAAACAGAGGAAATTTCACTACAGACACTGCAAACATCAAAGGAATAGAAGGGAATAAATGAATAGTTCTACGCATATATTCCACTGCTTGGATGAAATGAGCCAATTAAGAAATATGACCTACACTACACCAAGTTGCCCTTTATGAAACAGATCATCTCAATTTCCCTATAACCAACAGGGTTCAAACAGCATTCATTTTGGCCTCAAAGCTCACCCCAAACCCCCGCCCCACAGACCAAGCAGCAGCCCTCATCTATGCATGCTTACTAAGCACAACATCTATTCTTTTCCATACTGAACAATGAGTTCACCTAACCTTGAAATGCTTCCTTCAACCCTGTCCAACCGTAGAACATAACGAGTGGTACCACCTGGCCAACAAGCATGTCCTACAGCATGTCCTGGTCAGAGGCAATCACAGTACCTAGCCATCAGCTGTGCCTGACCACAAAGCCCCACTAGATGCCCAACCTTAACTCAAATCAAAGGTAGCAGCTTGCTATCTAGAAAACTCAAAAACAAAGTCAGTCTGACAAGAATCACTGCCAGCTAGCCTACCCAGGCTGAATTAAACACCTGGAAAAGCCAGAAACTCTGTTGTCTTCTCAAAGGCACAGATGCCAGTGCAAGGACACCAAGACTACAAAGACACACAAAAAATCACATTTCTAAAAAAACTCACAAACCAACAATGGCCACTAAAGAAATGGAGATCTGTGAAATAACTGACAAAGAATCCAGAATAATCTTCAAAGAAGTTCAGCAAACTCTAAGAATATAGAGCTGAAAAACAGAACAAATTTGGAAAACAACAGAAGCTTGACAAAGACAATTTAGAAAACCTTATGGTAAATCCTAGAGAAAAATAAAATCACCAAAATGAATAAATCAATAGGAAGTCTCAATAGCAGGCTTTATCAAGCTGAAGAAAAAGCAATAGTGAAGTCAAAATATTACCCAGAGGAACAAAATAATCTGAGTTATATTAAATGAAATGAATCAAACCCAAGGATTGTATCTTCTATGATTCTTCTTATATAATATCTTTCTAAAACCATTTTGTCATGTCCTCATTAACAAGCGATACAAATATGCAGTGTGTATCATTTGATCTGTCTGAAGATAAGTACATGTACCTGAACATCCATAATCTATGTAACTCCAACAATATCCTCTTATTGTTAATGATATCATTCCTGGTCAGACAAAGTTATAGAAAGGGGGACATACCAGTGGTTGCCACAGGTTAAGGAGACAGTAGAAACAGGAACAAGGTAACAAGTGCAAATAGCCTAAAAGTCAACAGTAGGGATCCTGTGGTGGTAGAGATGAGTCTGTATTTGATTACACCAAGGCAAATGTCCTGAATATTGCCATGATCATCTAAAGCTTTTGCAAGATATTATCCTCTTGGAGGAAAACAGGAAAAGACAAGTGGGGGACTTATGGTATATTTTCTTACAACTGCATCTTAATCACCACAATCTCAAAAAATGTAATAAAACCAGCAACCCTATTAAAGAAAACCCTGACTCCCGGAGATCCTACAAAACAGAATTAACTGTCTCATACGGCTTCATCCCTCTTCTTCCCATAGGCAAAAAGATGAGATTAGGTGACTAAGAATGCTCACCAAGGTCCTTTATAGTATGGTGATCACAAAATGGTACATTAGGGAAAAAAAGCACTTAAAGTCGGTTAGATTGAATCATAAAGGCAGTGCATTGTGACTTTCTAATTGTACTGTACCTGCTCTCACACTACACTTTCAAACTTTGGCTTTTGAAACTTATATAAACACATGGCATATCAAGACTTACTTGCTCCTTTCTGGCTTCATTCTTTTAACATTCAATCTCCAAGTTACAAAGGTTTTATTAATTCTGAAAGGAAAGACACTTCTTACATTCGGTGCTCATAAGTCATGTATTCATATAGAATATATTTAGGAAAAGCTTAGTATTAGGGAATTCTGTAAAGCACGTATCATCTTGAGTGATGAAATACTGAAGTGTACAAATTCTCTCTCAAGTCATCAACAGAATATAGAGCAAAAGGCAAGTGTAAAGTCATTTTAATTTGCATGGATAAAAGAGTTTGTTATTTCCTTTTTTTCTTTATTTATTTAAAAGGCAGAGTTACAGAGAGAAGGAGAAACAGAGGACTTCCATCTATTGGTTCACTCCCTAAATGACCGCAATGGCAGCAGCTGAACCAATCTGAAGCCAGGAACTTCTTCCAGATCTCCCACGTGGGTGTAGGGCTCCAAGGACTTGAGCCATCCTCCTGTGCTTTCCCAGAGCTGCATCAGAAGTAGAACCGCAAAGGACTTGAACTTGTACCCACGTGGGAGGCCAGTGCCACAGGCATAAGCTTAGTCTACTGCACCACAGTGCCAACCCCTATTTCCAAAATTCTAATAAATATTAAAAAGTATTACTGGGCTAGATATCATCTTGACATTATTCAATATTAATGAAAGGAGACATTTATGATTTAAAAACTCAACCTGTATGAATAACTGAAAAGTCTCCTTCTGTGATTACTTGTCAGTCATAATTTTCATCAATGGAACATATACGCTCACCACTTAAACAATGTCCCTCACCTCAATAGGAGAATATGAGAGACTTATTCAGTACACCCTCACAATCAGTTCCTGAAGAGCCTCTGCATCTTACGAAGAAGAGCCACTTTTAAATAACTGCTGAGGTGTGAGTTTCCTTTTATAGCTGGTTAAGAGCCAGAATGGAGGGGGAAATGGCAGGCATGGGAGGATGGCAGCCAGAAAATTGGCCGATTTTGAAACGCAGAAAATTGAAGGAGTTCCGGAGGTGTCTGGCAGCTCTGAGAGAATCATATATTATTCAAAGAAACTGAGTGAGGCCTTGTAAGTTAGAAATGTCTCAAGTCAGTCTTGTGACTGGGGGCAGGCATCATGATACAGTAGGCTAAGTCGTTGCTTGTGACACACGAATCTCAATGAGGGCCCAAGTTGCCCACCACGGAGACAAGGATGGAGTTCCACATTGCTGGTTTTGGCATGAACCAGTCCCAGCTGTTCCCAAATTTGGGGAATGCAAGAGGATGGAAGCTCTCCCTCTCATTCTACCTTTTAAACAGACAAAAAACTCATTAAAATATTATTTGTTTTCTGAGTCCTCAGGAAATAACAGACGACTGCAAGAAAAGATAGACGTTTGAGAGAAACCAATAAAATTAATTATAAACTAGGTACAAACTAAAAAACATCAGTGTGTTAATTTATGGATGATCTGAGGCTGAGGAATCCTGATGTAGCTCAAGTAGCTGGATTCCCACATGGAACACCCAGAACTCCTGGCCTTGGTCTGAACAAGCTAATGTGGGCATTCAGGGAGTGAGCCGATGCATGGCCGATTTTAACTCTGACTCTGCCTTTCATATAAAATGAATATAGTAAGCTAATATTAATTTCATGAACAAAATAAATCCTAGGAAAAAGTAAAATCAAGACAGTATAAGTTTACTTGACTATAAAATACCGTTTTTGTCATATTCATAATGTTTTAAATGGAGAGTTTTAATACCTAAATAAGTAAGATTTGAAAAAAGATTTTGTGGAATACTCTACTTCTATAATTTTCCATAAATATGTCATTATTATGGTTTAAGAAATTCAAATGACAGAGTTGGTTTTGTTTGTACTCCTCTCACCGGAATTTGGAAAATATCTTGAAATGCTGTAATAAGTAGCAGTATTTTCTTTCCGATAGCCATCGCAAAGTAGGCGTGAGTTCTCCTACATCCATGCCCTCAACTTTATTGACAACCTGCAATTATAAAGCAAAAAAACGTTAATTTCTTTAAAGGTACCATCTTTAAGAAATTAAGAAATCCTGTATTTGACTTATACCTCCTTGCCTTTATAATTAATTTTTCCCACATCTGAATCCTTAGGTACTTTATTTACACCTAAATTTGACACCTGCCATCACTCTGCTTCTGACCTTGCCTTTTCTCATGCTATTTCTTGTGCTCCATCAGAGAGAAGAAGCTTTCTCCCCAGTCTAAGATACCTTCCACAACGGCCTTTCAAATTATGAGCCTCATAATTTTCAGTTTCTATAAAAGCACTGTTTATGAACTTTATTGTACCACCAGAGATAGAGCAGCCCAACATAGCTTATAATCCTACAATCCAGATACCCCCTCATGCCATTCAGAAAAGTCACATCCACTCTGTCAAGGAATTCTTTCTCAGGAGTTTCTCTCTCCTATCCAAATGCTCACATCTGATTAAATTTCTTCCAGAAAGAGTATGCCTATGCCATCAGCAATATGTATCATGTATGTCTCCATGTATACCGACACCATTCTCTTCATTTACACTTGATACGGCATGTTACAGATATTTCCATATCTACACACACTCAGCCTCATATAAATGTGGTCCTGCCCACATATACTTCACAGTTTCAGTTGGGAGATTGGGAAGACAGAGAGCAAACAGGCAGATATGAAGCAAATGATCAAAACAAGGGAGGCTGTAACTACGACTTGCACTAAGTAGCAAAGCACTGTGCAAGAGCATAAATAGAGCATTTCTGTATCTGACAAAGGAGCTCTGATAAACATGCCAGTGGGAGGAGCGTGACCTTTCCGTTATTGATATACTTAATATTATGCCAGAAAAGACCTGTTTTCTAGTTCTTTAAAAGATTGTAAACAAATAAAGGATTTGAGAGGCAAAAAAAAAAAAAAAAATCCCAGAATTGAACCTTGAAAGTGAAAACTCTACCAAGAAAAAACATCACTAGTAATAACTTTGTTCCCAAGAGGATTGTTAAATTTAAATTGCTCTCAAAGGACTGGGTTTCTCAAACACAGAGATAAATTTGTGCTATCAAGTTCTAAGTTCAGCAATATTTTGTTGTTCTGAATGCTGAGAACAGCCATTCAATATTACCTTTGAGACAAACGATGCAGTAACAATCCAAAATTCTTCACTTTGTTTAGCCTTGGAGGTGGACACTACCTGAAGGTCATATGGGTTGTAAAGCGCATTAAAAGGATGAACCCGAGGAAGGCAATATACAAGCTCTCCATCATCATTCAAAGGTTGCTGATGTAAAAAAAAAAAAATCAATTTGACTACAATAACTAATGAAATGACTAAAACAAAAATCATCCAATAAATCAAAACAAGGTTACTACAGATTAAAACTATCATTGTGGAAAGCTAGCATCAAATTGTATCTAATCAAAATTAAACAAGAGTAATCTCAGGAAAAGTAAGCATGCTTACTTTCATTATTAAACATAATTTGGTGATAGAACTTCAGGCAACTTTTATCTATATGCTTATTAATGTATATTATTACTTAATAACCCCAAGAACTTGGTGACAGCCTTTAACATACATGAAACTTTCCACTAAGTTTGTCTGCCAACATCAATGCCTTTTGGCTTATTAAATTTAGCACTTGCTTTTATATTAATGAAGCCTTAAGTATTTACTAGTTACTTAACAAATTTTAATACCAAGTAATGTGTGCACATACATTATCCTTAAAACCATTAGGAGATCAATGTCAACTTTAATATTTTTTTTTTTTTAAGGAAAAGTAAAAAAGAACCCTAGTGCTCTACCATAGTGGCAGGAGGACAAGAAGCAAAACCCGTATTAATGGTGGGGAATGCACCTTTTAAAGGTTTCCCTCAAAGATGTTTCTCCATGAACAAAGAAAATTCCTAGTTTCCATGGTACCTGGCCTTGGGACAAAAGGCCACAGAGGTGCCAGACATAGGACATTCCAGGCCTTGGGCAGATGTGTATTACTTCTTCCTGCTCTCCTTTCAATGATAAAGGGATCGGCCTGAGGCCTTCCCACAGTGGCGGGAGGTAATGGCCGATATTTCTGGTGGGGAATTGATATGCTAATAGCACCCCTGTCCCTTGGGAGAGACATACTCTGGTGAGTTCAAGACATGGTGGGGAAATTCTCTTTTACTCAGGGACCCAGAATACCCAAACTGCCTACTACCCACTCTAACTCCTCTCTCATTCCGCCCCCCAGAAGAAGTAACCCTAACTGCTGTTAGGGGACTGGGACGACGACTGGGAGACTGCATAAGTTCCTTTTGGGCAAGACTGATTTACCAACCCACATGGAAATCCCGAGATGGGCTGTTAGCATAGAGCATCACTGATTGCTACATACCAGTTCATACAAAAGCTATGACTGGGGGCATGTCTGGCAGGGCTAGGTACCAGTACCTGACTGAGTGGTGGAACAGGGGATGGGTCACACTTGGCAGGGTCAGGACACTAACCAACATGTGAGAGAACCAGATCTAGGGATAGATTCACAGGGGAAGTATGGGCCCAATCCTGTGGAAATACAAGTCCCACTGGTTAGCTCAAGAGTTGGGGTGGTGATGGGCTGAGCTAGGTATAACCATAGAACCTGCCATCACTTACAGGTAAAGGAACTGACAACAGTCTGGGCAGCTCAAGGCAGCAGCACCTGAATGTGCATCCAAAAACAGGATGTGGGGTGGGCTGAGCTGCAACTCGAAGGGGGCCAAACAAACCTTAACTCACAAGGAAGAACAGAATCAGGATGTTGCACAGGTCATGCCGAGCTAGGCTCTTACCCTGACTGGTCTGCACGAGCCAGGGATACAGGACACAGCAATGAAGGCAAAGGCTGAGACAGGTGAGGGGCTAAGCCATCTGGGTCAGAGCAACCACTGGCATGCACACAATCTATGGTTGGGAACAGGTCTAACTGGGGAGCTAAGAAGACACCCTAACTGGGTTGGGGTTCCCACTGGTGAGTGCGGGGGCTGGAGTGGGGGCTGTGTTCTGGTCTGGATATGGCTGCAGTCTCCCTTGGCATAAGTGTGGACTGGGAATGGATGCACCAGGCCGGACTGGACTCCAATACCATCTAGTGATCCGGAGAACCAGGGTATATGTAAGATGGACTAGGCAAGGTTTCTGCCCCTACTGAGCCATGTGTGAGCTGTGTCTGGGTATGGATAATCCTTGGCTTGGCTGAAACATCCAAATGTAAGAACTGGAATAGGTTGAAGGCCAGTCAGGAAAGGCCACTGTTCCTGCTAGGACAGGAGATGGACTAAGTAGGGCTGGCTCATGGACTCACCAGTATGCATGAGATCTGGCAATGGGAGAGGTTCTGATGAAGAAGCCTGGGCAACTCCTCTGGCAGGACACAGTAGATGCAGGTCAGTGCAAGAACCACGATAAGGAGCAGCCCAGACCAGGCCAGGGAAAGGTACCTACTGGCATACATTTAGCATAGGTCAGAGGCAAACCAGGCTGAACAAGTTCACATCACCCGTTGGCAAATCTGAGCTCCAGAACAGAGTGTGGGTCAGACCAGGTTCAGTCGCAACACATACCAGTGTACATTATGGCTGGGATTGGCTGCCTGCTGGGCTGGGCTAGGCTATAACCCTCACCAGCATCAGCTGGAATTGGGGGTGGGCCAGGCTTGGTCAGGCTACAACACCCATTGGCAAATGCCAAGGTGAGGTAGGCCATACCAGACTGGGCCACAGCACCCAACCAGCACATGTGAGAACCAGGGAAGGAGGGGGCAAAGCTGGCAGGGGGAATGTGGAGGGCTCCCCTGGTGGGCAGCCACTCCAACTGGAGAGCGTGAACTGGGATGGGGGCAGACCAGACCAGGCAGGGCTGCAACACCTGTGGGCCTCATGTAAGCTAGATCAGGGAAAAGCTAGACTAGGCTGATTGCGCCTTCTGGTGCAAGCATAAATTAGAGTGGGTGAGGGATCGTTGGGCTTTAGACTGGGGGCTAAGTCTATCAAGCTAAACTCCAGAACAACCTGGAGAGTGCATAATCCAGGAGAGGGAGTGGCCTAGGAGGGAAACAGTGGGTGCCTCCCTCTTGGGTTACCACTCCCACTGGAGAGCATGAAAACCAGGATTGGGGCAGGGGTGGCTAGACAGAACAGCACCCGTCAATATGTATGTGGGTTGGATAATAGGGCAGGTTAGGTTGCAATGGGCTTCAATGCCCACTGACATGTACGAGAGCTAAATGGCATGTGGGACAGACTGAACAAGTCTGTGGTACATAGTGGCAAGCATGGGAATCAGGGTTGGGTTAGGCCTGGAGGGGGTTATAGGGAGTCACCCCAACTAGGCTGAAGCTCCCACTGGTTTTTGCATGAGGGCAGAGTATGAAGTGGGTAGGATCGGGCTGGACAGCAACAACCATTGGTTCGCGTAGAAGACATGGCTGGAAACAAAACTGCAAACAAAATTGCTGGACCGACCCAGCAACTGCAACAACCAGCATGTGCATAAGCTGATTGAGGCGACGGACTGTGCCAGACCCTGTACTGGCAAGCACACACAAGAATCAGGTCTGGGATCACCTCAGACGAAGTTTCTCTGGGGATCCCTCCAACTGAACTGCTGATCTCAGAACCCCAATCATGAAGAGACTATCAGCCAGTGGATTCTGAAGAGATTTCATCATGCTTGTAGTGGTGAGATTGGCAGCAATACAGAACTGTTCAACTATGAAAACTGCATGAACAGGACCTTCAGAGCATGCCCCAAGTCAGAGACCTGGGAGGGGTGGGAGCCTGGGTGGGGCTTTTCCTTTTATCTCTTTCCTTACCAAGGACACAGAAAAAAATTAATAACATAAATGTGGAAACAATGGTCTTACCCAGTTTCCTGTAGCCCTTGACTCTTCGTGCCCTAATCAACTATTTAAGGAATAATTGCCAAAATAAAAGAATTCTAAAAGAAAAAAAAAATCCAACTCTGAGTAAAAGCATGTCCTGAACTATGCAATAAATGATATTAACTGTCTGTCATTTATTTGGTATTATTGAAAAATCTTTCCCATTTCTAAAAATGCTTAAGTGAAATTTATTTTACTTTAAAAGGATTAACTTTTATTAATGAAAGCCATCTAAAATTATAAGGAAGTCTAATTTGGTCTTCTTTGGGTTACTGAGATATATTGTTAAAACTACTTAATATTCAGTAATGTTCCCACAAACTTCTAAATAGTTTCTCACTGAAGTGATTTTGAACCCCGTTTCATAATATTTTTATTTTTGGAAGGTTATTTATTTCTGTCTCAGTTGCTTCCACCTCCCTCCCTCCCTCCCTTCTCTGTCTCTCTCTCCCTTCTCCCTCACTCCCTTCCTGTCTCTCAAATGAAATGGAGGGAAGAAAATCTGATTTTAAAATGACAAATAAAGGCAGAGTGATGGCTCACATAGTATATGTGCTTTGTTATAGCTATATGGTCATTTGAAACATGCGTTCTCTAAATTATGTTTCAAAATGTGAGGTTACTAGAAACTTAGGTTACATACAATGCTTTTACACCAATTACACATATAATTTAAAATTCAGCTAGAGAACCATAATATGTTCCAGGTAACAAATTCTTCTTCAAATGAAATCAAACGTATGTTCATATTCTTACATACAAATAAAACACTTTCTTTGGAAGTCCATGGCACCTTGTGTAGCTAGGACTTCTTTTAATTACTAAATACACTGTCAAGTCCCATGGCACAAGTTTCACCTCATTTAGTCTTCGCCACTCTGGGCATAACTATTGTCTTCATTTCAAGGTCAAAGAAAACAAAGCTCACAGCGGGCAGGAACATGCCCAAGGTAGTACAGTGTGTGTAGATAATTAAAATTAGGTGTGTCTGTTCCCTTTATGCATATACTTTTTAATATTGTGCCACCTCCAAACAATGATCAAAAGAGCATCTATTCTCCTAAGAACAATCTAGAGTAGCAAGGCACCAACCATGGCCAGGTGCCAGATTTTGTAAATAAATCTTGACTGGAACATAGTCCCTTCTGTTATGTCCTATGCATGCCTTTCCATTACAATGACAGGAATTACATGGCTGCAAAGTCTCCACTAGCCACAAGCTGCTCCTTTTTCAGGAAACAGTTGGTTGATCCCTTGTTTGCAGCAACGGTTCTTGATTGCTCATCAGATCACCAGCAGAGCTCAATAAAATGTGGATGGTTAGGTCCTTCCAGTTTACACCTTCAGCCTACTGAATCAGAAATGAGAATATGTATTCCTAATGCAGCCTGAGCTGAAGCTGATGTTGTGACCTGTCTGGGGATTGCACCATGAGAATCACTCAGCTGAAGGTCGGAACACAGGACGTTGCTCAGCCAGTCTGCTGTGATACACCCGGAGGAGGGAGAGCCTAGGTCTTGCCAGGACTTCCTCCCTTGGGTAACACAATCTTGGACAAGATCACCTTTTTCTGAACAAAGAGGCTAATGAGTAAGGACAGAACAGAAAAGATAAAGAGATTATGGTGTGAAAATCAGGTGCCAACAACTTGCAGTGAGGACAGACTGTCAGAAAAATTACACTAGGATATCTTTTTAAATCACAACATACACGCACACACACACACACACACACACACTGATAATAGAGAACAAAGTTTAGATTCACATTTCAGGCAGATGGCACCCCGAGGACCTGATGAGAATAAGTGATAAGAGGAGAGACAAATATTTTGAAGTATTATAGCCTTATCCTATCCATTTTTCATTCCTTAAATAAGTAAAATAAAGCGATGTTTAGTACTTTAATCAGCATTTTCCACTCAACAATTTGATGCTAGTGTAACAATAGAAGGAAATGAAACAAATGAACTAAAAATAAAAATTAAAACAATTTGGAACAATTTGTTTTTATAATTCAAAATGGAATAAAATGGTGGAACAATACCTTTTGTATACTCTTTGGAATATATTTTTCACAAGGTCTATGTTTCAAAGTGTGTTGTGGTAATGTCATTGGCTAATCAAGCTTTTCTCTTAGCCTAAAAATATTTCTTATCACATCATCATCTTTTGGTTCTGGTATAAAATATTAAAATAAAACTCTGCCATAAGTGCAAAGAACAGCATCCCTTAAGGATAACTTATTTCAAATTTTGCTGTATAAAGAAAAATATTTACATGGCAACCTAAAAGTTTACACAGAGCACAAGTACAGAGAAAATTAGCTATTAACAGGAGCAAAGAAGGAATGGTGTTTATCCACCTGGGTAAACACCACACGGGGTGGATGCTTAGCCCTGGGGTTGAGGGTCCGGTTAACAAGCACATGTGCCACACTGGCATGCATAGACTCAGTATACACACCAGTGGCCTGACTCCTGCTTCTTGCCAATGCACACCCTGGCAGGCAGTGGGGATTACTCAAGTTGTCTTATGAAACATTGCCCAAGTATAAATTATTCAGGGGGACTTAGCAGATTGCAAGATTCTGTAGCCTTCTGGAAAATGAAGGCACGTGGAGGAAGATAAGGAGTAATTTCCAAAGAACAAAATTTAAGGAATACCCATGTTCTAAAAACCTAGAAAGTTTCTAAAAAAAACCCTGAATTTCTAACAGAATCTTGAATGCTAACTAAAAAGAAAAATATAAGCGGCTTTAAAAAGTTCATGGCATTGTTACCTTATCTTTTAATTCTATTTTTTCAGAAACCCTTTTTACTCACTGGTATGCTATACTCAGACTTGGAGAAAGTCTGGCCTACATTCCACTTTTACACTGAGATAAGAACAAACAGCACAGACAAGCAAGAAATTTCAAAGTTCAAGTGGAACTTTCTAGAGGAAAATCATTGGAAAATAAAAATAAAGCACAGCAAAAGTTTAGTTTGTCTATCCAGTTGCAATTCCATATCCTTTATTACCATAATGCCACCTCATTACAAAAATCATAGCTTTCAGAAATTGAAAACAATTCTTTAAGCAATCAAACAGAAAATTCAGTAAATTGTTCTGAAATCAGTTTCTGTGTCAGCACACAAACCACAGAGCAATGTGAAACAGCCTCATGTTTCCTCTCAATAGGAGGGTTGAGAGGAACACTCACCTGTGGTATCATAATGTGGAACTTTGGCTTTCCTCATCCTGGGACACACTTGGGTTTCATCCTCTTTTTCCTTTGGTTTCTCTTTCTTTTTAGGAGTCCCTGGCTTCGGAACAACTACGGGTTTTTGAGTAATACCTTCCATGAAATAATCTGAAAATGAAATCTTAGTTCGTTAACCAGCAGGTGCTATAAATAATGTCACAGTACACATTTAATGCAATGTAGTCGCTCATCACATGAGGCTAACGCTCATCACGTGAGGCCATAGGCCCTGGGTCAAACTGCCTGGGTCCCAAGCTCAGACATAAACCTTACCACTCACGTCTGCAATCAACCCTGTGAATTATTTGCCTGTGTCACTTTTCTCAGCGTTGAAGGAAGGTTTTTGTTTTTTTGTTTATTTGTTTGTTTATTTGTAAGTGTCACATAGGTTTGTTGCCAAGAATTAATTCACTTAAAGCACATAGTCAGTGCTTGCTAAGGAGCCATGCTGTTAATTTTACTATGACAGTACACTTAATTTTAGCCAAAAGGTCAGGAAGCAGCTGATTCTATTCCTTTACATCTTTAATGTGTGACTTCTCATGAAATATGGGAAAAAAAACTCTTTATTAACCGTAATTTGGCAACTGAATCCAGAACATATTTAGATATAAATGTTAAAAAGTAGCAAAAGAAAGTCTACTTTTCATATTTTTTTATGGCTTGCATAACTGGCACATTTTAAGCACACAGAAGAATGGAAAGGTTATCGAAAATAGGACATTTTATAAGTGAATGGATTTCACAAGTCCTCATTTATTTCATATCTATGTAGTACAAATCCCTGAGCTACGAGGTAATAGGAGTTTAGACATAATAATCACAAACAAAATAATTACAAAATAAAGAGCCTGTCAATTGCTGATGAAGAGAGCCATTATCTCCAGTTTGCATAACCAGAGATCACACACCAACCCTGTTCCAGGCATCTGAGGGTAAGGTCTTCAACTGTGACTTGGGGTCGAGGGGAGGGGAATACAGATGGGGGATGAGACAAAGACTGGGCTGGTACTGCAGCTCAGCTGGTTAAGACATAATCTGCAATGCTGGCAACCCACATCAAAATGTCCACTTGAGTGCTGGCTGTTTCACTTCCATCCAGCTCCTTGGTAATGTGCCTGGGGACACTTGCAGAAGTTGGCCCAAATCTCTGGACCCCTATCACTCATAGAGGAGATCCAGATGGAGTTCCTGGCTCTACTGCTTGGGAAATTAATCAGTGCATAGAAGATTTTCCTTCTTTCTCTCTAATTCTGCCTTTTAAATAAACAAATCAAAGAAAAATTCAAACATTGTCCAGACCACAATAAGATACTTGGTTGGCTTTATGAATATTGTACAAGAGTTGTGAAAAACGTCATCCATCTTTAACCTGTTCCATGAGTTTCTCCCTGCTCCTTGCATCAACAGGAGCCCTGACGACACCACCGAGCTCCTCGTGTTAACAGGAATTACAGGTATTCAGCTCTCTGAAGCAGCTATGGTTTACATTCTCTCCTTGGGTGGATAGAAGACAGTGATCAGGATTCTCTTTCTCCTTGATCTCAATCACCACTTCCAAATCATTACAACTTGCCCTCTTTTAAAGATAAGCTCCAGCTCCTCTGAAGTTCATGTCTTTTTGTTGCACTGTACTCTTCCACTTTCATCAAGAGCATTAATCCACTGGAACATAACTTTCTTATCACCCATTACCCTTTCATTTCTGTTTACCCTGTTTGTTATCCAGGGCAGATTATGCTGTCTTTCCACACACTCTTGCCAATTTGCTAAGCTCTTTCTCTTTGGTCTACATGGCAAAACATCAACCTTGCACAAACTCAAACCTATGAGTTCTTTAAAGCTGCACATCCCAGTGCTGTGAGACATCCCACAAGTAGATGGGTTGGTAGTTTTCCGTTTTAATTAAGTACTAATAGACCCTGGACACATAAGAAAAATGTTATTGTCTTATTAACTTGCTCTCCCAACACTCTTCAATGACTTCAGATTTTCACACTGCAAAAATCTTTAAACCTTAACCTTCCAGCTCTCTCCTTCAACAGATCTCAATGCCTAATTCCCTGGGAACAGAGGAGAATCCCTGTAACTTGCCACTGCCAAACAAACCAACAGCTCATGTTTGTTTTATTCCTCCTGGTTTAATAAAGAGGGAAGGAATGTCTTTCCTCTTATCCAAGATCAGTCCTTGACACATCATTTTGCTTAGATCCCATTTCTCCATGCATGCACCATTAAACTTGTTCCTTTGCACATCCAAGCAACCCCTAACTTAAACAAAATATATTGTTTGGCCATCTCTCTCCTGTTGTTAATCCGTGCTTGTCTTTTGCAACAGTTGAACTTCACAACAATTGCATACTCTTCTGTTTCCTCCTCCATTTCTTTATCCAGAAATCCTACCAAAACACAGCACACAAGTAAGGCCAATGGGCAGTTTTCAGTCATCATTTTACTGAAGTTGTTGGTATTATCTGGTCTTCAGACTACTCCTTTCTTACATTTTTTAAAATTAAGCAATCCATAAAAATATACACATTTGTGGGATACATATGACCTCAAACCCTGATCATTTCTTTATAGTGAAACCATTTAAGATCCCTTCTTCTAGCATTGTAAAAAATCCACAGTTCATTACTGCTGTCTGGAGTTGGTCTAGCATGCAGTAGAAACTAGAGCTGCTTGTTCCTGTCCACTGGTTAACTTTTCTTCATCCTTCTTTCTCCTTACCACTCTTTCCAGTCTCTGATAACCACCATGCTACCCTCAACTGCTGTCAGGCCAAATTTTCTAGATCAGGCTTCATCTGTCTTCGCCTGGTTTACCTCACTGAGTCTAATGGCTCCTCCCACCCCCACTTCTGATGCAACCTTTTCCTTTGTGATGAACAAAAACCAAGGCACAGCACAGAGAGAAGACACTGGGGCCTTGAGAAAATGCTGCCACCACCTTTGAGATCTTCCTCACCAATTAAAAAATGCACATTAGATGATATTCTCTAAGCAGGGATGTCGATCACAGACTGCTATAAAAATAGAAATGCCAAATATTCTTGGTGGCAATGATGTCCCTATTGCTATTTTTATTTTTATTATTGTGGGTATTTGGATTCTAATCAGTATTCAAATTGTTTAAACAAAAAGTCTTTGAAGACCTTTCTAACTGCTATGATGAATGAAAATTAATAAAATATCAAACCTTATATTTTGAAGGTAAACTAACTTTTACTTAATTTCTTATTTTGAGGCCATTTTTAAAAACCCTTTTCATCTTCATAAAATAAAGGATTAAGCAACATGCCTAGTCTTCCTCTCTGTCTCTCCTCCTCTCTGTATATCTGCCTTTCCAATAAAAATAAATAAATCTTAAAAAAAAAAAAGCAACATGCCTGGGTAGTAATCTTGATCAGTTTCTTCTGTTTTCCCTGACTGGAGTAATCCAGCGAATTTTCTTGGTGCGCCATAGGTTAAGGTCTCCTGTTCTTCTGTTTCATATAGTTCAGTCTCTGTTGCTGTAATTTCTTCATATTGTTCATATGCTACACATCTAGTAGGACAAAGAAAATATTCTGAGAAATATAAGCATCATCATACCAACAAGACACACCAAACTGTTAGCGCACTATTCGGAATTTCACTTTTGTAATTGCAATGGCTTTTTATGGTAAACACGCTACAACTTAAAGATTGAATATTTATTTTGTACTTTATAAGAAAGTGTAATATCTGTCCTTTTGAGTGATTTTTGAGCATGCATTTTGAAAACAAGAGCCAAAATAATTACATTGGAAGTCAAATAGTTAAGTACTCAACAGAGATAAGTGGTTTTAGCATAAGAACATAATGCTATAAATTATTAGTAAAAATGCAAAGTGAGAAGGGATATAAAAATCTTGATTTCATGTTAGATAAAAAATATTATCCATTTATATTAGTGGTAGAACCAACTCAGGACACTCTTCTGAAATTTTACATTTATTTATTAACTTCCTTTATGACAAAGTGAAAAACTCAACTCATTTAAAGTAAAATCTTCCCACAGCATATCAGACAATTGTCTTCTCTGTAAATGCTGGAAAAAACATTTTTCAGCAAATCCCAAATCACTGTCTACAATCTATCTATGCAGGAGGTCATATTTTAAGGCAGCAAAGGAAATTCAGACTGTGCAACTCCTTTTGTATGTGTGTTGTGTGTGTTGTGTGTGTGTGTGTGTGTGTGGTGTGTGGGTGTGGGTGGTGTGTGTGTGTTTTGGAGGGGGAGTCCCTATTGGTGTATTAAACAACAATAATCATATAACTAAGAAGGCGCTACTTTTTTCAGGGACAAGTAAGGCATAAGTTCTTATTCATAAAGCTTAGAAACAGACAGGAAACAGTCAGCAGGGATGCACTCATAACTCACTGGGTGGGACACAAAGATTAGTTACTCCTCACTGGGGTATTGAAGATTTCTCTGCACACCCCTCCTAAAACTGTTCTGCACCTAAACTGTTGACATATGTCTTGTTAGAGTTATAGAGTTAGACTACCTGAAAAACAGCCAGGTTCTGCAAAATCATGCTTTAATGCTATAAACTGCTAAATACTAAAATTAAAGTAGACATGAGACAGCTGAATAGTAATCTATAGCCATTTTAAGGTGTATAGAACCCAGTTGTATGTAAACTAACAACTGAAATGTCAATGTAGAAGCATAGGATGTGGTTCAGAACTTGCACTCTTTTTTTCTCTCTCTCTTTCTCGTAACATGTTGGTTACACAATACCATGTCAACTAATTCCATTACGTTATAAATTGTTACTGATGTAATGTTGGGGCTTTTAATTGATTGGGATGATACTCTGTCAGCTCTACCTTCAGACAAGAGATGGTCTCCCCAAGAAACCGTTGAACTTCTCTGGACAATAAGATGCTGGACTCTGCTTTGTAGATGCTTGTAATGAAAGAATTTCAACTGAATTTGAACTGTGGTAATGCAACAAGGTGGAGGAATCCACCATGGGGGGGGGTAGGTTTTGCGGAGGGGAGGGGGGAATCCCAGTGCCTATAAAACTGTGTCACATAATGCAATGTAATCAATAAAAAAAGGATAAAAAATAAGTTCTTA